AAAAGAGAAGAAACCTTCCCCCACCACTTGACCTTCACGCAATTTAAACACTTCATTCATGAAAAGATTACTGTACTGATAAAACATGAATAAAAGAATACGAGATGCAAAATATAATTAGTTACTATACATAGCAACGTATATTATCACATTAATTATTGAGCAAAAAAGTGATAACAAGCAAAAGACAAAACCTTTGCGATAATTTACACTTTAGAAGGAGGTCAACAAAGAGATATAAATATTGATGCCTTGGAAAGAAATAAGAACTCACTTTCTCAGTTAATAATTGTTTGAAGCCTGTCCAACAATAATGGAACTACTTGATAAGGATCTCTCATAAAGGGACACCTCTATTTATAGGACAATTTTAAATGTATATGGACTAGAGTTAATAATAATATCCGAAAATGGCTGGTTGTTCTTACTTCCTTCTTTTTTTTTAAAAAAAAAAAGATAATCTTTATTCCGAGGATAAGGTCATTTCTCTACACATTTCTCTACACATGATCCGTACTTTAAGCTATATTTAGACTAAAGAAACCGACGTGTTATTGTAACAAGAAAGGGTTACATTTGCTAACGCTATGAATTCCATCTAAGAAATTATATATTATTTCGTAGATCGAAACACTGCTTAAGGTCTAAAATTAGCCACATGTACTTTTTGACTCAAAAGAAAGAAAAAAACCGTACACAATTAACATTGGACAGTTTTGAATACTTAATAGTCGACCGTTGTATTATTAAGAAAGAAGGCGGTCCGGGGTGACAACCATAAATAGACTAAATAGTAACAAAACTATTTTATTAAAAGCCAAAGTTTCGATTTATTTATATCAGTTTGGGATCTTGTTACTTAGCTTACTCTGTTTATACAAATTATTGTTCTTAATATATTAAGGTACTTACTGTTTATAATTTTTATCTAAATATAACGTAACTTCCACAATTGTCTATATCTTTTTTAATCTTGTCCGTTCTAGCACTGAAGAAGACCTGCAAGGTCGAAACGTTGGCTTTTAATAAAATAGTTTTGCCACTATTTAGTATATTTATAACCGCCACCCCAAACCATCTACTTTCTTAATTGGACAGTTTGTTTCTTCTAGTACATCTACTTAAAGATGAAATCAATCAGTTTTTTCATTTAAATTTTGTAAATCCTCAATTTAGTAAACACTAAATACAATTTATTAAATTTTTTTGAGTAAATATCAGTAAATTTTCTTAACATTAGTTTCCCTTTAAAAATTTAAATGTATATAAATACATATTTTTTTAAAATATGTATGAAAAGTTATTTGGGGAATTCAGTCATTGAGAAAACAAAACAAAAAAAAAAAAAATTATTTTGTGCTAACGTTTCGACCTAAGTTTAAGACCTTTGTCAAGCCTGAGGAAAGACAAGATGACAACCAGAACATTATGAACCATCTAATGTAAAAATATAAGACAACATAATAGATTTTATCTGTTAATAAATAAATTATAAGAAGTGAATAAAACTATAATGCAAATATTGTGTATAATGGTAAGGTATGAAAATAAAATATGATAATTGACTGTGTGATAAATGTGAACAAAAAATTAATTATATTTAATATTTTAATTTAATTAAAGATTTATTTTTTACAAATTTGTATTAAATTTAAACTATTTTGCTTACATTCATTTAAAATTTATACGGACTTCTTCGATAAAAATACGACATCCTGGAAAAAGCACACAACTATTATTTCTCAGCTGACATACTAAGAGCTCTAAACTCCACTAACTAACCTTTATACAGAATGCTATGCAGTTACAATGCTCCCGATCCCGAAACGTACCTTACATTCAAAGTCCATATAAAGAAATTGAGATGTGTCAGTCAATTAAGAGTTGCAAACCCAGAACATATCAGAATCTATGCAAAACACAGAACTTTTTCGATCGAGTCTCAAGAAACTTGTATATTATGCTGCCAATTTATCCACAATAGTCTACATCACATTTTCCTTCACTGCCCAGCATACAATGAATATAGACAAAAATTCCTCCATAACTTCATCTCAGAATCGTCTGCTTACCACAACATCGAAACCATATTAAATATCTATTGTATAGACAAGTTAAATAAAGTTTACTATTATATGATGGGAGTACACAAAGAGCATACACAAAATTGTTGATCATAGCCCATTTTCTATTAAGTTTGTTTGTAGTTTATCTTAAAAGTAATATTTTGTTTGTATTTATAAATATTTTTATTTTTTATTTTTTCTACCATAGTAACAGGTTCTATAACTATTATTATGCATTAATCGTGTTTTGTTTTTAATTTCTATTGTTATTCATGTTTCGTAAAACACATAACATATTGTATTCATAATGATGTGGAGATGGTCGACTGTTGAAATAATATGAGAAGGAGTTGATCGGGGGGTGCGGTCAAATTAATAATAAATTAAACAAGTAGAATTATTTAATTTTTGCCGACGTTTTGACCCACTTTGCACAGGTCTTCATCGGGGCTACAAAAGATACAAAACATGGTTAAAATAAAATAAATGAATATAAGTAGATATAAAATAAGAATAAGTTGTCTGATACAGAAATAAAAAGATGATATCATAGTCACCCACTACATCTCTGATATATTTTTTTTATTTCCGTATCAGACAACTTATTCTTATTTAATATCTATTAATTTTATTTATTTTTAAACTATATGTGTATAACTTGTAAAACCATATTATTCTATAATAGCCAAGCTAGGCTCTATTTGTATGGGGAACCTCCCAAAACAAATACATTTCTATCTATATCTATCACTTTTTATGTAAAAGTATATATATATATGATTTTTAAATAACCCCTACATTAAAGATAACTTCCATTAAATGAGAGAAAATGTGTCAACATGACTGTCCGTAATTCAAAGGCTTCATTGTAATAATCTGGTTTCCGACCAGGTTATTCCACACAATCCGCCCTAATCAAAATCATTAATGATGTTCAGTCCGCCATTGATGACAAAAAACTAACTGTCCTTATACTCATTGACTTTTCCAAAGCCTTTGATTCCATCAACCATTCCATTCTCTTTTCCAAATTAAAATCATTATCCTTTTCCCATAGTTCTATCCTATGGTTTCAATCATTCCTCTCCCAACGCTCACAAGCTGTCGCTATTCCTAATCAACCCTTGTCTTCCTATCTTACTTTGTCCGCAGGAGTGGCCCAGGGCTCTAGCATATCTCCCCTCCTTTTTAGTTCTTATATCAATGACATCCATAATTCAATCCTTCATTGCTCCCATCACCTTTACGCCGATGACTCCCAAATCTACCTTTCCTTTCATCCCTCAGAGTTGCATGAAGAGTTTGCCAAAATTCAAGAAGACTTGAATCGGATCAGTGCCTGGGCAAACTTAAATGGGTTAAGGTTAAACGCTGCAAAAACTCAAGCCATTGTCATTGGTTCCAAACCCCTTCTCAGAGCCAATACCAACATACCTATACTGTACCTAAATCACCACCCCATTACCTTCACCTCCTCATTAAAAAACCTAGGCATTTTCATAGACCAAACCCTATTCTGGAAACACCATATTGCTCACATTACCCGACAGTCAATTGGTACCTTGAAACTATTCCATCGCCTACCCATCTCCACACGTAGACTCCTAGTAACTTCCCTCATCTTCCCCCACCTTGATTACGGCTGCGTGGTGTACGGTGGCCTCTCGGCAGAACTCGGGGAGAGACTGAAAAGAATTATGAATGCCTTCGTAAGATTTGTCACAGGGGCCCTGAGGTATTCCCGTGTTTCGCACCACTATGCTGAATTAGGATGGCTCTTCCCTTCCTTCCGAAGACAATATTTCCTAGGCACATTCCTTTACCAAATAATCAATAGTCATCGTCCGTCCTACGCATACAATCTCCTACAATTCAAATCATCTATCCACACCCTCTCCACAAGATCTCGTCCTTCTGACCTTCACACTCCTTTCCACAGATCTGCATCATTTAAACATTCCTTCGTTGTCCGTTCCACTGCATTCTGGAATTCCTTATCCACCTTTAAAACCCTCTTATTCCAATTCCTCTTCACAATCCAATCAGACGCTGGTTAAATACATACTATGTTATAAGGATTTAATTTTCTTTAGACATTATTTTTTTTCTCTTATTTTTTATTGTTTTATTCTGTGTTGAACGTGAATTTTCATCACCACTCACTAAGCATTGTGAGTAGATAAAATTTGTTTTCCTTAAGTTCTAATTTGTTATTCATGGAATGTATTTCAGTGAAATGTATTTTATTTCTAATTATCTTCAACATACTTCTCGCTATATATATATTTTATATATATATATATATATATATATATATATATATATATATATATATATATATATATATATATATATAGTTTTTACAATTTCTTTCCCTACATATTAACAGTTATTATTATTTTTTTTAATTTTTATATTCCAACACTACAATGCTTTACCTATAAAATAGATTTTACTTTCCTTTCTAATTTCATTCAGTGATTATTATGCAATTATTTTAGCTCCAATATTGTAGTACTGAACCCCTATTACCCAACTGTCCTCGTTAATTTATCCTAAGAGCTTAATTAATACTTAATGTATTACATGTATTTTGTCATTATTCATTGTAATAAGTCTTTTGACCAGATTTGTAGTTAATATATATATGAACAATACTGTTATTCTAAAGGGACCTAGTCCCAGAATAAAGATGATTTTTCTATTTCTATTTCTATTTCTAATAACTTGGATGATGGAGTAAAAAGGTCAATATTCTTCGAAGTTATTTTTATTTTGTTTCCTATTTTGTTTGTTGTAAAGATAACTAATGAACCTAAATATTAATTGATAGTTCTATAATGTTTAGATTAGTTTGGGTGAAAGTTTTCGAAATAGCCTCCGCGTCCTTCATAATATATCTCGTATGTGAAGTAACGCAGTCTGGAGAGAGCAGTTGGTAGAGACGGGTGCTCAGAGGATTGTGAGAAGGTAAGTCTTTACAGCACGCTTCTTAACACTTATTTTTATATTTGAGAATAATATTTAGAACTCTAAAAACCTTTTATTTTTAAATTAATGAACATTTAAAATTCTTTAATAAATTTTCTTAACATAATCGAAAAAATACTCATCACTCAACGAATTAGAAAATACATAAAAATATTCTGTCATGTATCTAAAATTATAATTCAAAAGAAGCTTGGACAATACAAATCAAATAAAAAAATAGGTTATTTTAAAATATCAGTACGCGTTTTGGAGGTCTTAAATAACCAGACAGTGAAAATTTTGTAGTACTTCGAAAATAATTTTCGTCAAGCCTTACTTTTTTAAATTAACAAAAATAATTTGATAACCATGGATTTTGATGAATGAAGTATCAAATAAAAGAGTATTTGGTGGAGACGTCAGGAACAATAGCCATATCCTCGCGAAAGATCAGTAGAAAAAGTCATTAAAGAAATAGATAAATTTTTATTTGCTTACATCTTAAACATTTATTTAAGGAGATACAGATTTAAGATTTGTAATTATTACCCAAAATAACCCTCAAATACGAATTTTCATGCCATTCGAAAAATAAAACTTTTTTTCCTCAAATTTTCATCAAGCGTTTTAGTTTTTTCACGAAAATCAGTAAAAATTTGATAACCATGGATTTTGACGAATGAGGTATCAAATGAAAGGGTATTTGATGGAGAGGCCAGGAACAATAGCCATATCCTCTGGAAAGATCAGTAGAAAAAGTCATTAAAGAAATAGATAAATTTTTATTTGCATATATCTTAAACATTTATTTAAGGAGATACAGATTTAAGAATCGTAATTAGGACCCCGAATAACTCTCATATACGAATTTTCATAGCATTCGAAAAATAAAACTTTTTTTCCTGTGAAACATATTTTTAAGGAACTTTTTTGTAATGATATTTCTAGGTTTATGTACTCAAATCCTTGAAAAACTTACGTTAAATGAGAAATAAATATATTTAAAATTATAATCCATTTTAAATGAATTATTGGTTTCTAATGTTTCGTTTAAAATTACTAGTTCCGGAACGACAGAAAAAAATTCAAAATAAAAATTCCAGTCATACCGAAACTGATTAAAAATAAAAATAAAGTAATTATATCATTAACATAATATATATTGAATATATTTAATCATACGTAGATATATATTAATAATTATTACTGTATATTTATTATAATTAATAAGAATTATTTTAATTAAATTAATGAACTCTTCAATTCTTACATCCGATTTCTTTTAACATAATTGAGGAAAAACCATTTTAGAAACTATTTCTTTAAATAAAAAAACTAAGCTGTGTGCTTTAGACCATACGATAGAAGTGAAAACATTAACGAATCGAGATTTCAGAAACGTGTAAATAGGATGTTTTTGAAGAATAGTGTTTGTGTTCTGTCTATCTCTTATCGTTCCATCTCGAGCATTTTTTCAATATAAAGTACAAACTATTAGACTTGTATTCTGTTATTGTTGGTACATCCTTTCAAAAAAATAAAGAGCAAAAATAAAAACTACGAGTTGTTAAATTAAAACTTCAACCGAAATACCATTGTCTATAATAAGACCTATTTGGACTTACGGAGTTGAGCTATGGAGCTCCACTAAGCCATCGAATTCCACTAGTATCCAATCCTTACAATCCAAAATCCTTCGTAAAATCCTCAATGCTCCCTACTTTGTTACAAATAAAACCACCCATAATGACCTTAATGTTTCTTATGTTTTAGATCTGGCCCAATCCAGATACCTATCCTTCCGTAATAAACTTCAGAATTATCCTAATCCTCTCGTTTCTAACCTTGCTTCCTCTTCAATTCCTGATAACCCTCCGAGGCATCTGAAAAGAATATGGCCCTGTGATTTCCTAATGTAGACATATCATTAAAGTGCAACCATTGGGTAAATACTCAACAAGTATTTTCACTTCATTATATCCATACGTTCAAATTGAATAAATGTATTTCTTTAATACAGTTTAAATATCATTAAGAAAAAAAAACAAAAAAATACCGTTGTCATGACAAGTTCACCAGTGTTGTATGTAAACAAGGTTTTTGCTTGGCTAAGTTCTTAAATTAATGTGTGAAAAATAAGATCAAAAGATAATTATAAGTATGAAATATGACTGCAGTTAAAATAAATTTATTCTAAGGATAAAATGCAACCAGGATATGACGTCATTTATTGTAATAATTTCGTTTCATCCTTATAATTTTAAAAGCCAACTATGTATCTTCATCCCATCTACAAATTTATTCTATTTTTGACCTTGTTTCTTGAATATGATAACAGGGAGGAAAATTGAACATTTTATAGGTTATTATTTCAAAGATTATCTTGTGTTTTAGAGATTTTGATAATCTTAATAATAACAAACAAAAAAACTGGTGCGCACAACACATAACTTTCGCTTACCACTCTATTTTGAATAGAAATTATTTTCTGGCAATGTTGGGCCATTATAAAATTTTTGAAATGCATTTTCAACGAAGCTAAAGCTCACAGATAACATATCACCCAGACAACTAAAATTACTAAGACTCTATTTATTATATCGAAGGCAGACAATAGACATCTAGTTATTCCATCTGCTTTTATAAACCACATAACTTCAGTCTCTGGTTTATATGTGGCTTTAAGTTGACAGAATGAATAACTCCAATTTCAACATTTTTGAGTAGCGCCATTGAGTAAGTTGATTACAGAGTAGGTGATAGCATTGTTGAAATATAGAACTGCGAATAAAGGTATAAATTTTCCCTTTAGAAACATCACTGAAATTAGTAATGAAGAATATTGAAATTGGAGTTAGACATTCTGTCAACTGAAAGGCTCATATATGCCTAGAAAGATTTGAAACTATATCTGAATATTTAACCTATAAATGATTATGAATTGTAGCACTATTAGTTATTAAACTGTTATTTTCAATTGTAAAGTTTACTAAAACGAAAATACGTGATAGGTCATGGATAACTCAAAACTTGTTACACTAATTGTAAGTGGATAATGTTGGGATTTCAGAAAGGAAAAAATAATCAAATTATTCCCTAATTTAATTTTCTAAAAGGTGCACTTGATGATTTTTCGGAATAAACGGCCAATAGATACCTAATTATTTAAATATAATATCTGATATAGAATTATTAAACTACAGTAAATATATTTAAGGTTATAATCATATCCATGAAATATTTGTATATTTCACTTCTTTTTTCACAAAAGTACAATGAATTAGTATTTTAAACAATGGCATTGCCTTGATTCGATGGATTTTACTTATTTTTCAAATTTAAATAAAAATTTTAAAGTTTACATTTAGTATGAAAATTTCATTTAATTTCCTTGGATTTTCCTTTTTTTAATTTTATATTTTCTGTATTTATGGAGTGAATGTGTTCATATATCAATATAATTATTGTCCACGTGACAGATTATTATATTTCTAACTAAATAAATTTTAAAAAATTTCTTTGGAAACATGTGATATATGTTAAATCATGTTAGTTTTCAGAAATTATTATTTATATTTTTTTCGTCACCCTGCGTTACCTCCTACAACTTAATTTGTTTTATATTATTTTTTCTTCTAATTCTCCGCTTTCCTACGATATATTATACTATACCTTCTGACTGTTACTTTCGGAGATTTATTTTCAACCTGGATAAAGCATTATTCTTCTTTTTTTTCTCCAGTTTCTAATTATCATATTCTTTTAAAATTCATATTAAGCCATCTTTTATAGTTACTGACAGTAAAAGAGAGTTCATTTTTTTTTAATTAACCATACTTAAGGTACTTTAGAGGAAGACGTATAAGAGCATTGGTCATTTAAATCCTGTAAAGTTACATCGATGGGGATAATACCTGAATTGTATTAAAGAACACTTAATTATACAATGATATACAGAGTTTAATAAAAATCGTAACAGCCGTTTTTGAGAAAATTGTAAAAATGTGTTTCACCGTAGATATAAAGTGGCACTTCCGGTTAGCCGATTTTAAGGAAAAAGTTGCTGTCACATCTAAGGCATATAACTATCTTAAATGCGTAATTTTCGTACGCCTTTTCGTTTTTGAGCTAGACTGATCACATACACACACTGTTTTGTAGGACTTCGTTATTTGGCCTCAGGAGACCTCAAAAGATGTTTTTCCTTTGAAAACTCAGATTCGAAAATTTTCACTATCGTAATACTTTGCCTTACTATATATTACATATATAGGTAAGTGAAAGTAAAAATTTGTTGGCTCAAATTTTCGCAGAGTGAGGAAAGTGGTTTTAAATATTTTTTGACATAGTTAGTTACGATGGATCCACATTTGTATTTATCTATAACTCAAAAATTAAACAAACGGTACTGCTTTGTTTTTTAAGTTCATATAAAAGTGAATGTATCAACATATAACAGTAGAAAAAAAATTGAAGACATGCTAATTCATTTCTGTTTTCCTCAAATGTTCAATAATTTTTATCATCGAATTTCGACCAATGGGCGAATACTAGTATTATATAATTGGTTATTGGCGTGCTAGAACACGAGTAAAGTACTCGATAGTTTAAGGAATAACAAATGAACCCCCCTCTTCCTAAGTATATAAAACGATTATATATTTAATCATATACATAAAATATGTAATACATACAAAATATAATAATAAAAACAAGCAAAAAATAGCATGCAATTGTACTCACTCGTTATTTATTCATATATGTAGTGCTGCTCTCGACTCTCATGTGTAACTAAGTAATCAAATTTTATAATAATTTATGATTCAAAAAAATTGACTTATAAGCGAATAAAAATGTCAGTTATTGTGCAATGTTAAATGAATTTAAAATTATTAAATTCCTAAAAAAATATTTATATTTAAAAAGAAAAAAATGTATAAACGTTTCATCAATTGGAAAAAAAATTAATTTAATTAAATTAAGAAAACTTTATTAATATC